AATATTCACAATACTACGCCCGGTACAAACATTCAGACATACAATAATTTATTTTGAATTACCGCACGATCATTACACACACGCATCCGAGAAAGTTCCGGCGCGCGTTTGACGAGCGAGTAATTTTACGACCGCAATCAGAAACCCGCAAGAAAACGCAATGTAATAACCATTATTGCGGTCATCAACGTAAAATATCGATTGCGGACTTGATTGTGGACCTTCGAAACGGAGTCTTATATTAAAAGAAACGCGCACCAGCGAATAAGCCAATATTGATATTTCGTAATCGATAATTAATCCCGAGCTATAATTCGTCGATGACTTGCGCGTAGCAATTACTGTGCATCGTCCTCCTTCCGCCCGTCTGCTTTAGCACACGAACATCAGGTTATTCATAAATCACCGATTTATCATCGAGTTGTATCGGCAGTAAAATTAAGACGTTTGAATTCGAAGGAGACGTACGATACCTTCGGATATAAAGTTATGAAAGACGTATTAATTTATCGAAGACGTCGCGTAATTTCGTGATTAAATTTATATCGCTTCTTTCCGAAATTGTCTTTATCTCGTAAAATGTTCTTTATCGTATCACTGTTACAAGCGAGTTCGCAGATCGGTTACCGCGCTCCTATTAATTCCGCTCGTTCTGCCCGTCGCGGAGATATGCCAAAAATGTAGTCGAGGGAAATTACTGCATCTCGCGCGAAATGTCGACGATCCATTATTTATTAAAAGGTGTCGTCGTACGTGCCCCGGGTATTAAAGGTCGGTAGCATCCACGAAACTTCCGGACCGTTTCGAGTACGCCCGAGCACCTTCCGAGAGGAATTTTTTGCTTAGCCGTGTACATTCTCACGACCGCGTCGTCATTTCTTTCTCTCTCCTCTCTCTTTCTTTTCACCTTATAAAGCCTTGCCTCGCCGGCTTCTTATCCTACCTCCGCCTTAAGCCCACTTTACACTCCAGAAACTTTCTCGTAACCCTCTCGGCCGACGCGTCACGTAATCGCGTAACTCCACCATCCGCGAAATTTGTTGCCGCCTTTATCATGCCCGCACGTACGTTTCCCGGTGAAATTTTATTTTCCGCCCTGTAATCGTCCATCGACGGTTTATACGCGGCCGATCGGAGCACGATGGTTCAAGGATCTACTCTTACAACGTCTCCCGACGGATTAAAGGAGTTTATGGCGTTATATATCCAATCCATAACCGCGCGCTCCGCGATAAGACGTATGTGGGTAATGGCGCGTAATTATATGGCTCGTTAAACGTGAAAAATTCCCGCTCGGTCTACGCTCGTTTCTCTGTGAGCCGCCTCTTCTCTATACGACTGTATTAGTTCACAGATTAGTCGAAAGTGGCCATCTTCCCCAGCCCTGCACGCAGGTAAGTTCGATAGCGCCCCTCCAAATTGGCAGGAAGGCTCATGTTTGTTTCGTTTCGCGAGTTTCGGCGGTTTACATAAATAAATACGAAATGAACGTGTTTTGATCGTTACGGACGCGTGAACATTAACTCTTAACTCGCGTCTGGTCCCCTTTCATGGCTTTAATGATATGCCGGGTGAATATTCATTTGCGGATTACTTTCATGCAAATTAACGGCGCCACTCCTCGAGCATCGATGGCGCTCGCGCGGGTGCGCGTACTCGGAGTTCCGAAAGTCTTAAAATGAAGCAGTTTGCAAACTTGATACGAACCTAATTACTCCTCACCGGCTTTATCGTCAATAAAACACGGTATATAGTATGCCCCGTGGCACCGTAATTTCGATTTCGGCCGTTTTAATGAGTCGTAAAAAGTGTCGTTGCGCGCGAGCCGGCCGGGCGCGAAAGAAAGATTGTCATGCGTTTTCGCGAGCGAGGGTCAAGCCCGCCCGGTCGACGGCCGTATGTCGACACCGTAAAAAATTTTAGCGACTGCCGTAACACGCGGGCTAGCGAGGTATCGAGGCGGCAATTAAGCACCCGCGCTTTATCCCCGTCCGTCGGACACGAGTACGAAAAACGCACGTAGGACTTGGCGCTGGGTTAACTGCATCCCAGCTATCATCGATCCCACGAAATCCGATATCGCTACGGAGCGAGACTGGTGTTACAGTATACTACGGGTTTCCTGCCTTCTGTGCCTTCGCGGTCTGTGAATCATATAAGACGACTCTCTCTCGCGTGAGCATGAATGGAAATAATAAATTTCCGACCGGGAGACGTGACGAGAGAACAATGTCGCGGCTGGTCTGTCTCGAGAGTCTCGGACTAGATGACTCCTCCGTACGCAGTGCGCTATCAAATAGGCAAGGCGACAATCCGTCCGGCGCGTCGGCAGCCGAATTCCGTCGGCCCCCCCCTGCGCGTGGGGAGATCCTCGACGTTGCCATTGTAAACCTCGAGCGAGAGGAAAAGAGGGTGATGGAGCGAGAGATAGAGAGGGAGAGAGATTCGCCGCACAATCGGAATAATTTAAGGGATCGCATTCGAATGTTCTTTAAAGCCCAGATTTCTCAGAAGCGAGCCCTGCCTTTTCTCCTAGTCGCGGATCGCGAACGCAATCACATCTTCTTGTAGTCTAGCTCATTCAGGACGTCGACAACGCCGGCGATGGAGGCTGTCCGTCAGCGCTCCGCCGCGCGATACATCGCCTCGCGCCTTTATCGAGACGCGCTCTCTAGATTCGAGGGACGAACGTGTAACTCGCTTTTTACGCACACATCCGCGCGGGATTGGAGGAGAGACTCTCGCGAAACGTGAGATGCTCTCTTCCGCCGATGGGACCGTTTGCATCTTTTTACATCGCGAATGAGATCCACTTCCGCAAGGTGTCGCAATGAGATTGTAATCTATACGTCTCGTCGAGTAGTCAGACGGTCGGCGACACCTCTCGAAATAGATCTACAATTTAAAAGCCGCTTAAAGCGGACGTAAGAGTCGTATTCCCGGTTCCGTAAGACGCACAGGTTTTGCATACCGGGTGTCCCAAAGAGACGCCCCGATGCTCAGTCGGCTATGTATCTTTCGACTTTTACGGCTTTTGAGTTGCGAGAGACTGAAGGTGAAGCGAATCATACGGCGCATGGTTTTACGGTAACGCGTAAGTTCAACGTCTAAGTAATTGCGACGGTGCTCCATTTTGAGGGAACTTTTGTTCGAGACGTAGATATTACATCGAGAGAATGCACTCGATGTTGAAACTTAAAGATTTAGGGGAAAATAGACGGTGTTTGCGATCGAATCTCTGGCACGAGAAAATTGAGAGACTGCAGATCCATTAAAGAATCGTCCGGGGAAAGATAGCGAGAGATGGTCTCGGGACATCTTGTACACAACGAGCATCGATCATTCCGGCTGATCCGCTTTCGAAGACGGAAGCGAGAACTTGCAGTTACCGTTTTTTCCATGGCGCGAACGACGCTTCTCTCTCTCTCTCTCTCTCTCTCTCAGAAAAGTTGTTTTTCATTTAAGAAAAGATACCGCTAGCGCGTCCGCGGGGAAATTGATTCGACGTCGATGTGCGTGAAAGGTCACGTAACGGGATTGATGAGATTATTGGCTCGAGGGGTTCGCCATTTCAAGCTCTAATGCAACAAGTGAAAATATTTCTGGTAGAAGTAAGGGTCGATGGCTCGCCGACAGAAAGAAGGAGCGATGATGCAGCTTTATTATTAAACGCAATTCTCGCGATCAATTTCGCTGCGTTCGCCGCCACGGAGTACGGCGCGTTAAACATTTCAACGTCCGCCCGAGGCTTCATTTGCCGGTGAAAATTTCAGATCTACGTTGAAAACCCTACGGATACGATCGAGACATTTCCGACAATGAGGTATATTTACCCGCGGAATGAGAAAGCAGATATGCATCATGGCGCTGGTAAAACAATCTGGGGGAAATATTGCGGGGGTTTGCTGTTCCTCATGTAAGAGTTTGCGTTTAAGCAGTTAAGAACGATCGATATTCCGAGTTTTGCGATGAATAGAACGGTTTAGTAAAAATGCGTGTCACGACGATGAAAGATATGTTGAACAAAATCAACGAGCGGGACTCCGGTCGTTAAGAAGATTCCGATCATTACTTAGGCGCATCAGAAATTCCCCCGTTTTATCTTTACGTGTGCGCGGTACTATAATATTTATAGAAATATTTTTCAATTTCGAGCGTATAAACAAACGCTCTAATATTCTCTTTCATATTCCTCGGGCTATTTTTCTTCCGTGAGTAAAGGCACAAAAGCAGTTGCTCCACTTTATACATACAACCTATTATGTCTGCGAAACTTCTCTTCGGGAATAAAGGGCATTTTATGATGCAGCTTAGGCGAGCGTTTGTTACGCATCTTTAAATTCCCGAACCTGTTCCTTTCTTATTTTTCAACGTTCTTGTACAGCGTCAGCTGTTATCTGACTGTGTACGCGACACTTATATTTGCTAATTACCATGATATTGCGCAGATGTTGTTAGCGACAACGAGGACATTGTGGAAACCTAACATGGGCCATGGTTGGAACAGGTGACTATCCCCTCCCTCCCTCTTTCCCATCCTCCACACCGTAGTCCGATCGATAATTCACAATTAGGGTGGTCGGTATGGTCTTGTCGGCCCTAATCTTCAAAGGGCCTCTCTCCGTGTAATAGCATGATATCGAATAGCTTCAGCCTCGTTTCCTCCGTGTTCCAGACTCGAAGACCACCATGAACAGTCCCCTTAAATTGACGGAAGGGCAGAGGGGGGGCATGTATGTTACCCATTCAAGTTAAACTTCGTCACTTTCGCCGCTAATCGTCCATGCGATACTCGCGAAGAAAATGTCGCGTTACAAGATGTAAGGTCAATCGCGGATTGGACTTGTCCTTAAGAGTGGACGCGGATTCGATCGATCGGAGCAACCGGGAGATTCCGTGGTATTCGCTCAGTGTTGTAAAACGGCGTTAAACATGTTGACTCGTTAATATCGTTGCATTTGAGCGTGAGAGATTGTTCTATAAACAAACGTTCCTCTCAGTTTCAGGATGAACATGACGGCGATCCACATCGGTGCGAGCACCGTGGCTAGTATGATCAGCCTGGAGTCTGCGAATCTCAGTCTAACACTGAGCAAGGCAACGGGCGGCGTCACCGACGGCGACCTTGACGTTTCGCCGGTGACCTTATCGTCGGCTTGGTCCAGAGTGGCTCGACTTCTGCTGCTGGTCTCCCTCGCCGTCTGCGGCAGCGTGGGTAATGTCTTCATGATATCTGCCGTGGTGGTGGAGGATCAGCTCAACAAACGAGGTATGTCTGCAGTTTTATCTTTACGACCGCGAATAAAAACACGGAGCTCGCGTGCACAGAGGCGGAGAATCATTCTCGCGCGCGGGAGTCGCTATAAATTTGCGACGGAAAATTAAAATAGTAAAGGCGACGTTAGAAAGGATTCGGAGGTTGGCGGCGCAGGGGTAGTTGAAAGGGAACGCTCTCATCGACAAATGCAACGACAAAAGTTTTTACTGCATAGAGGTATATCCGACTAAAAGCCATCCAGGGGGTCGTACATTTCCGACGTGCCTCGCGACAACGTTCTTTCGTATATACCGTCGCGGTAAGATCTCTTATCTTTTTTTGCTTCTCCACGGACAAAAGCGTCCTCCGTCTGTATCCGGCCGGAGAGGGATATAACGGTGAAAAACGAACGTCGTCGTCGTCGTGTCGGTACAATCTGCGAGGAAGATGGGATCTTCATCGTGCCATTATACCTGCGGCAATAACGAGATCGATTTCTCGTACTATTTGCAAACTGAACTTCTCATTCTCGCAGATACGCGCCGGCGCGATAATAAATAATCCCCTCGGTGCTATCGCGCGTCGTTGTCTCGTTGGCTCGCGCTGGGACCGACCCGAGATAATTATTATTTGCACGCGAGCACTCCGCATAGAGCGTAATAACAATGACGCTGCGGATGGAATGGAATACAAAGCAACGTGGGTGCGAACGTAATTACGCCGCTTGCCTAAGGTATCGCTCTTCCTTCTCTCTGTTTCTCTGTCTTCATATCTGTATATTTAATATAAATTGAAAAACTCAATCTCTCTCTCTCTCTCTCTCCTTCTTCATGTTACAGAGAAGCCAGTCTACTTAAAGTCAATCTGTGTACAAATTGTCTTAGAACTGCTGATATGAAGTAAGGTTTAATGATGAATTTGAAATCAGTTTTTGTTTCCTAGGAGGAATAATGAATTTGTTTCGACCCGCTAACTTTTGAATAATTAATTTTTTCATATTATTTGTCACACTTATAATTTGCTTTTTATATGTTATTTTTTTCGTATTTTCATTTATTGTCTCATATTATCTGTTGTTTATTCTCGCAATGATTATTTATCATATACACTTAGGTATTATAAATATTTTTCCGAAGAGATTTAGTCCCAGAGCAGCAAATCAATTTTATTTTGCCATATTTTCTTTTATTTTCTTCTCTCTTTCTAAGTGATTTTTTTCTTTTGCTTCTTTCACTTCTCCTCCTTCTTTTTCTTTTCTTCTTCTTCTTCTCATCGACACTTCAATTTGCCGAGTTTCTCGGTTTTATAACTGTGTACCATCACTGGCCATTCTCGTAATTCTTATTGAAATAGTCCGAAACATTTTTACCGCTATTTTATTCCGCATGAATCTCGATAGTGGTGCAAATAATATCGGCTTTCGTTCGCCTAGAGCCATTCACCAAGAACATCTCGCTCCATTTTCCTCGTTTTTCCAGCAATAAAGTTCCCTTAACGCGGTCCGCCGCGATGCGTCGTCTCTCCAGTCGCGATGACGGCGAGAAACTTGAGTCATTATTGTCGCAATAACGAGAATTAACCCCCGGATTATTCTTTGATTTTACAACGACCGTGCGCGTATATTGGAGTTTAAGGACGCAAACGTTCTCGAGGAGATGGTTCTCCGTGGTTTCACGATCGTTTCACACGCGTTCGACGTCCCAAGTAATATAAAATATTGACAACATAATCGTGGGAACCCGAGTGAATGTGGATACGCGTGCTTTTGAGATAAGATGATGAAGTCGTGTGAATGTGCGTTTGTAGAATTAAATGAGAGCAAGATGTCTTCGATGCAGATGCTTTTTTGTATGTTCACTTCGCGTATTCGTTCATTGTCGTTGTCATTCCGACTCCGAATACATTCTCTTATACTTTCTGAAGTATAACAGTGATACGTTCAACACATCAACAGCTTGAATTAGTAATTCTATACATGGTCGATGTATTTTCTTTGTATAAGCGGTCTCCTTCTGTATAATGAAATATTCCGTATAGAGTGAAAAAGGACAAAGTAACGGTGCGATGCAATTCCACGTCGCGGGGAGTACCTATCACGAGGAATTTTCCTTGAGCCACTAGCAATTTACGCGGATGGCCAGTGATATCTAATGCAAAAGCTTGATATGGATAGAACATCGTAGGACATCGAATAAAGCTTGTAACGAGATTGAAGTTTTAATGTGCCGATCGCGCGCGCAATTTCGAACTTCACGATCGTCCTTTCCAATAAATACGTCCGAACGTGACGCGACGGCAACTGGCCTGTCTGTAGCCGGAAATCCGGCCCTCGGACGCGATTCCTCCTTTTTTCCCGTGCCGGGAGGTAGGTAGGTAGGTAGGTAGGTAGGAAGGAAGGAACGTCTCCGGCGTGTGAGCGGCATGCGCGAGGAAGAGAGAGCGGGGGGTACGAGGGTGAGGATCGGGAAGCTCGTGGATGTCCGTTCGTGCCTGACGTAAACCCCATTTCTACTGCGGACGTGAAGTGTCGGACGGACTTCGGCTTCGTTTGCGTGAACTCTGCCGGCGCGGAGAGAGAACTCGAGAAACAAAAAGCTCACCGCAGCGGGTCCGCGATGCCCGGTAACCCGATGGCGCCGTAATGGATTGCGCAGTCGTGGGGCCGCTATAAGGGTGTACACGGATGAGCGAGTCAATTTCGCGGCGCGTAGCCGCACGAGCGGGCCCGCTGCCGTATAACTCTGCCCGCCGTCGTATCTAATGCCGCAACGAGAGAGCGCCGTTCTATATCTTTCTCCCTCGCTCTTGTCTCATCTCGTCTCGTCTGGATGCTCCCCTTGGAAACCCCGATCACGGAGGCGGCGGCCGAACGCGGCGAATCCCCGCCGGTAATGCGAATACTTCGGGTACTCCGCGGTGCGGTTGCGAATAGTTCGGTTCGGCGCTCGTGAAACGAGACTCGCGGGAGAGAGAGAGAGAGAGAGAAAGGCCGAGCAAAAGAGGGAGGGAAGGAGGGAGCGAGAGAGAGGTGCGGGCTGACTCGGTAAATCGATTAAAACAAATTCTGATCAGCGCGGATTCATTCGGTACGTAGAAGAATACCCGGGGGAGGGGAAGGGAGCACGTTCCCATGACGATGCCGCGGCACTGCGGCTAGACAGCGGACCCGGGCGAGATAGAGATATAGAGGAGGGAGATAGAGAGAATCAATTTCGAAGTGACGCCACGAGCGCTGATGCGGGATAATTTATTCCACGCATCAACCGCTGAATCGATCGGATCTCGTCACGCCGAAACGTACCTCCGGAAAATGCGATCGGCGAATGCGGGCGGCGCGAATGCGACGACTACGGGGGCTTAATTCGTCGATACCTGAAGAGAGAGAGAGAGAGAGAGAGCACCTCTCGCTTCGATCCTGCCCTCACAGCCGCGACTCTATCTCTCTCTCTCTCGCTCTCTCTCTGGTTTTCGCCTACCGAGAGACCGCGATATTTCATCCTATTAACCGGGACGAGGAGGCGGTGGCGAAAAAGGCGGCGCCTTCCACCCGGCATGAGGCGCGGACGGTGCAATTTGTCGCGTAATCATTTTTATCGCGGTGTAATATCCACGCCGAAGGCGCGAACACGGTTTGCGGCCGTGCGGCCCGTCGGCGTGTTGGTGCGAGCGCATTTCGCGCTTCCCGAAAAAGCGACGAGTCCGAGGCCACCCTCGCTAAAAATGTCACCTCGGCTTCGCAACGAGGGTGTCGTGCCTCCGGTCGCGTCGCGCGACGTAATTTACTTTATCTGGCGGAGCACGCGCTTTCCAAATATTCTTAATGTTATGGCTCTCGGAATGTCAATTATTCAACCGTACTCGGCATGCGTGGGTGTGTGCGATTGAAAATATGACAACAAACCGCGATTCTGCGTAAAGAAGAGAAGAAATTCCAAGTAAATAATTCCCCGCACGGTAGTTCCGAATATATTAACCGTGTCGTGTTCACGCGAAGCGCTCGACTCCGCGATATCTCTCGCCTCGTGCAATTAGAGCGTGGTCTCGTATTACGGGTATAAAGAGAAAAATACGGTGTTCGATGTTGCAACGAAAACGGCCGATACGCTGCAATTACATGACGCGCGTTAATGAAAGTATCAGTGGCGAGTACTTAGCGCATGTGGCGCGAGATGGCGATAAGACGTCGAGGAAAACGCCAAATTACACGTGCGGGCTGCAATTTAACGCGCTACTTTGCCTGTAATTTATAGGTGTTGATGACTTCTTAAAAGTGCTTTCGCCGCTCAATTAAGCCGCGCAGTTACTCATAACTATATACGCGTTTAAAAGTGATTTGAATACTTGATGACCCGCCGCATCGTTTCGCGTCGGCGCGGCGCGCTATCCCATTGTGCGCGGTAACGTATTTACATAAGAAAACCATAGTGAGTGAAAATTTGTCTTGCAAGGGCGAGCGAAGTTAGGCAACGGACCGCGGCTCGGGTGGAAACGCGAGGAAATGCGTAATTATAATAATCGTTGTTGTTTTCTTTTCGCGCATGCATATGCATAAGACGCGGCGATTGACTTGCAGGGACTCTCCGTCCCTCATTCAACGGCATATCGCGGCATCGGCTTTTTCGTTCGTGAAACGGATCGTTAAACTTAGCGTGAAGTCCCGCTGCTCCAATGCGCACTTGGCGAAACGAAAAAATCTTATTACGCATTTTATTACTCATAGAGCGGTCGAGCGGACGTAACGGGTCGCTCTCCTGCAGAAGTGTGCAACCTTATTATAGCGTTATATTCCCCTAAGGACGTGACGATGTACGGATATTATTTCCTTTTCTCCGTGTCTTCGCCCGGGTATTGATCTCGGGGAAATCCCCGAGAATCGAGGATATATATCGCGTCGCGTGGAGGGCAATGCGAGGTAATGCGGATATTACGCCCCTTTCTTCCGCGACTTTCTACAATTTGATATTTCGTTTAGCTCTACGGGGCTCTACGTATGAACTTATGAAACGTTATAATCGTTGACGCGCAATAACAGCTGCGGCCGCACCGCGGCCTCATACTCGTTTTAGTGGCCATCGTCGTCGCCGACGTCGTCGACATTGCCGTTTGAACAAAGTTTTACAGCTGGCGTAGCCGTTCCTTTCGACCGACATCGTTTCACAATTACTATGGTTTTTACGATTCGCCCGAGCAGAAGCTACGACCTTCGATATTATGCCCCTTGCGGGCACGGGTTGATTAAACGTCGGAGAAATCGACGGCGGAGTTTTCTCCATGGCGGCGAAAATCGAGTAGCCGCGTCGCTTTAACGCGCCGTGGGAGAGAGAAAAAAAATCCGAGACACAACGGTCCCGGATAATATAATAGCTTGGCACGAGGCTGGCCGGTCGAAGGCTGGCACTTTTGCCAATGGAAGGAGACGGTGCACAAAAGTGCAGGCATTTTAGATGCTCTTGGCATCGCATACGCGAAATCCCGTCGTCGTGCGCGATAGATTGTTACGCGTTCGACACGGTCAGCCCGCGAATTTGTATCGTCGTCCACTTCGAAGCGACGTGCTTGCGCGTGGCCGAGCGATCGATCGGAAAAGACGCGGTCTAACCGAGGTGGATTACGTGCCAGACGGTAAATTGCAGCCGCTACTATGAAGTCACGACAAAACTGCTCGTAAACGTAGCGGAGGAAGCTTCAAAAGGCTTCGAAAAGAATGAAACCCCTAATTTACGCGTATTAGCGCAACCTACTGTCCACTCTACCCACCTTCCATCGTGCGAACGACAATCGTAGTATTAAGGTATTAAAGCTGATATCGTACACGATTCGCCGGTGAAGCTCCTGCGACATTCGCGAATATTCGCGAGCAATGTGACGCGACTGTCGACATTCGTGCGAAAGCATGGCTTTGCCAAGTCCCGATTACCACTGCTTCGTTCAATTTTTGCGAGATGACGATTTCGTTATTTTCCACCGGGAATATACCTCGCTTCACGCTTAGACAATGAAGTCTAGTCTGAAATATTCAATGGAAATATATTAATTCGATTCAATCTCACATTTCGAGAGCAACGTGAGGAGCCTCGAGACATCGCAAAATCCCAAATGATATCCGAAGTCGAAATTTTAGTTCTACATTGACTTTGCAAATTCCGTCGAACTTGAAGAACCAATAAAGAATCTCGAGATATAACACTATACAATTTTTTCTACCTTGATCATATCAAATTTACTTATTGCCATTGCTATTTTCTTCACGTTGAGTCTAAAAAAGAATTTATTTCAGAATTATTTAATTACCTCGATATTCCACCTGAATTTTAATCTTTATTTTTTTAATTTCAATCGATAAAGTATTATTTATACAACTTATTCAGCTGCAGAGAGAGAGAGAGAGAGAGAGAGATGTGAGAGATAAGCAAATATTAAATATTTAATATGAATATATCAATAATATTGTGCACCAAAAGAGATTTGGATTCGTTACAATAAAAAGAAGTAAAAAGAAGACTGATAGATAGACTGATAGATTTGGAATGTGATGTCTTACGGCTTAAGGAGCATTATTAAACGCATTATCATCTACAGTATTTATATTATAGACGCTCATATATTATATTTAACATCAATATTTATAGTTGTAAATTATTTACGATCTTTGATCGAAAATATAATTAATTATATATTTGTAGACTATTATTTGGTTGTTTAAATCAACATTTCTTGTTATATCAAGCAAGTAAAGGTACAGGTTGACGAATAATAAGATATTAACGAAACTATAAATATTTGTCAAATGCTGGTGAATTATGAATGATAACCTAAATTGTAAATCCGGTGCCTTTTCACATTGTCGACAGTTTCATCAAACTTTCGTTAAAAAAAGAAACCTCTTTTATAATAAATGATTTGACATGCCTTGTAAATATACGATGTATGGCTATTTACGCAACGATATTCTGCATTCTCCTTTCTGGCTTCTCAACACAACATTCTGGCTGCTTCGCGTGGCACTAACACTCGCATCGATGCTCGTATAGATACGACTCGATCAAAGAAATGAATCGAATATTTCAAAAGATCCGACGAAATATTTCGATTACCCGATGGATATGATAATTAACGTACACGTCATATGCGTTTTAATTGCCGGCCCGAAATGTAATGGAAACACTCGACAAAATTCACGACGCATGAAGATATGTTTAACCATCTGGAAGGTTCGGATCGTTTTGAAAACATTGATTGTTGTGATCATTCGGCCGTTTGTGACAGGCGATGACAATTGACGATTGACGGGACATGCCCTTTGTTTTGATACTCTCACGCATCACATATTTTTCCGTGATCGAGCGTTACATTATAGTTATACAAAGTGTTTCGTCAGTTCATAAAATATTTAATCGTATTTTATCGTGTTTTCATATTTTCATTTTATATCATTTTATCATATTTTCATCGATATATATCGCATTAATTAACTGTGCGATTAATGCATCCATGCGATAGGCAACACTACGAGCCAGTAAGCAAAATGTTGAATCCAGGGAAATCAGGACGAAAAACGCAGAATACTAAGACGCTATGAAGAAATAAAATTTGATGTTTTTTTATCTATTATTTATATTCGTCCATTAATTTTTGTTAGATTATTTAAGATAATAATTTTGAAATACTTTCTTAAGAACTCCTTGACACGGAGAAAATGGTGTTAAGTAACCATTTACTACATTATAGTAGGACATTAGCCTATATAGTGTCCTCCAAGTTCTGAATTTGCAGAGTTAATGTGGAGTCAAAATTTCGACTCGGAATAAGCCGGTTATCTACTCCAAGGCAAGTTTTCCGAAACTAAGTTTACGCGACTCTCAATACACAAGCGACTCGTATATTAATTTAGACATCGTTCCGAGCAATTTTGAGATTATCGCGGGATAAGGAAATATTAGTTAGGATACAACATCTACCAAGACTGTGCTCGCGGTACATATGGAACGAACGCAAAAAGCGCGGAACGCCGGCTCTCTCGAGCGTTTCCAGATCGCAAGAACTGCTAGGAGCTAATTACTCTAATGAGTTTCACGCGGCTTCTTTTTCCAGGAAACGCGTTCCTCGTGAACGTGGCGTTGGCGGACCTGCTGGTGACCGGCCTGGTAATACCGGTCTCGGTGATCGTAATCCTGGCGGGCCATGCGGAGTCTCTGAGTACCTGCCGATTCGAGTGGACCCTCGAGGCCCTCTGCTTCCTAGTGACCGTACTGACGCTGGCCACAATCGCCGCCGAAAATTACGCACGTCTGTGTCTGCCCGAGAGGTACAGTGGAAATGGACAGAGAGAGACCCGCGTAAAAGGGGTGTTTCCGCAATTTAACGCGTCGACTGCCACGTGACATCACGGTCGTGTTTCATTCTACCGTCTATTTTACCCCCGACGACCCTTTGGTAGCTTCGTGATATTCGAGCGTAGTGTACATCGTGAGAAATTGAGAGGTTCTCTGGAAGAACGGTTCGACTGCAGTCAGATCGTTTCTTTGTCTTTACGTCTGTCTTTCCGATTGTTTGCATTCTCGGTCACGTTCAGACCAGGCAATTCTTGATCGAGAATATGCTTCTCGAATTTATAGATACGAGATATGTACTTTGATATTATAGCGGATCATCGTTTCTAACAAAGTTGAAAACATCGAAAATCGAAGACAAATGTAGCAGGTTTCGAAAATAAAAAGTCAAATATCCTTGGTTTTCGGGTTTCGTGCGATTTTCGCGCATCTTCCAAATTAAGCGATTCTTCCAAAAAGAAAAAAAAACATCTCAATTATGCATTCAGTTTTTGCAAAAAAATTAGAATATTTTCTCGTTTATATTTATATAAACGAGATATATTTATATTTATATTTATATATTTATATTTATATATTTATATTTATATACTTTGAATTTCAAAATTGTCTCGAATGTGGTATTTATGAAAATGCAATATAAATTGAATTAATAATTAATTATGGTTCATTGTAGTTATTATCTCTAAAGGGCACAAATCCGTGTTATTTTTTGATATCATTGAGATATCTCCTTTCTTTGTGCTAAAATAGTCGACGCGTTGAATGCAACGCGCTGTTTAACATCATAATTTTATACTGTTATGGACAAAACGCGAGATATCGCTTTCATAATGCGTCGGTTACTCAATATTTTATATATTTATGCGTTTTCCGGGCAATACGATTACAGTGCTGCGGTGCGAAAACGCAATTCTAAAGTAATGACACACATTGTATCTGGCCCGCGGCACTATTTATATGCAAAACTCCAACTTTCTATGCAAATTCATTTGCTGTGACATTTCCATTTGCGCATAGACACAGTTCCGGATTAAAATGTTTCCTAGTTAGCTTTCATGGCGCGGCTGGAATACGTAATACAATTCTCCTCTCGTCCCGCGATCGAGCAAATATCGTATTAATTATCATTCGTGACTTCTCGCGTGCGTCAACGATTTATACCGCGGGCGCAAAAAGTTCCTTCTTCCCGCGACCGATACAAATGGCCGGGCATCCGTCCCGCGCGCGTTAACGATTATACAGCCGACGAAGCCGCGCGATGTCGCAAAAATGAAGCGTCCCCCGGTCGCGAGCGGGAGATTGATCAGCTTATTGCGAAAATAGTAGAAAATGGTGCTGACCTTTCGTCTGACCGTCGAAATGGCGCGAATCCAACTCTGGACACGAGCGGTGCCCGATCAATATTACAACCCTGTAACTGCCACTGCTCGGGCAGACGAGTCCGCTATTACCGTTATCGCGTCGTCTCATCCGGAATATCTTTCTTTTTTTCTTTATTCCCCGCGCTGATGTCGCGGACGACTCTCGCTCGCGCCCGTGTGTCGACGGGCGGAGGCGAAGGAGACAGGGAAACGCGTTGTCAGCGACAGCGGAAACAGGAGGGCCCATCCGCCATCGAATTAAGTACTGGCTTCGCCGATCGAAAAGATATAGCAGACGCGAACGGCAGAGGCGGCGCGATCAATAGTCGCCAGCAGTTCCTGCGAGTGCTTTTTGCTCACTAACGCGCCTCGATTTCTTTCTCGCCGTCGAGGGCCCTTTAAAGCATCGCCTTTAACCCACGCGCTTTGTTTACGAGGTGGCGCTTGTCGGTTACTAATTGAGCGGTCCGTTTCCGGAACGACACACGAGCGCGTTCGTTCTTGTTCGCGGCTGCTTTCGGTCTCTCGCTTCGAGGGACGGCCGTACTGATGTACGCGGTGTAATCGTTAACAAAGTTTGTTATTTGTCCCGTAGGGTGGCATGAAAAATGGATCGAACCCCGGGGTGTCTCGATTTGCCGGGCCTCCGCAAAAACTAACAAACTCTCGCTCCCGCGCAAAGGCCGGCAAAAAGGGTTCCTCTTTTGGTTTGGTAAAAAGCGGAGGGCTTTTTAACGCGAATTTTACCGGCTGGCTGCGGTTTTCGATAGCTAAATAAACAACTTCGCTACGTGACGGTGACCGGTTAATCAAACCGCGAGTCGTTTGATATATATATATATAATTCGAAATGTTGCCAGTTCCTTTTGACTCTGTAACACACGACGTCTCAAAGAATCCTCCGTCGGCGAAACGGGAACTTCATTAGAAAGTCGAATTATAGAAACAGTCGAATTCGCCCCTCGTAAATTGGTCGTTCGCGCGTTTTCAATTTCAAAATCGCGGGATCCCGTCACGCGCCTTCCGCTGAAACGCAAATTACGTGAGGGATATATATTCGAGCCTGCCCGAAGCCTGCGCCGAGAAGAGGAGGAGAAAGAGATGCGAGAGAAAAGGCGCGGGAACGATCAATTTTATCTCGCGAGCTACCGCACACCCGGAGCTGATACGCGAAGATGGAGTTAAACGCATTTATGGTTAGCGCGCAAACAACCTCCGAGCCTCATCAAACTGCCTCGACTACCGGCTAACAATTTGCCTTAATAAACACTTGCATTATCCCGTGCAGCGCGGGATTGTCTCCATTTCCATGTAAATAATTCACTTCGATCAAAGGCGAGGCTATCTGCTTCTTGCAGGCGGGTCTTCATTTGGTGCGGTCGTCGTAACATATATACCAAAACCTGCGCTTGTAAAGCTCTTTGGTCCCCGGTGGCCTTACCGCCGTCCGCGACAATAGCGGCCGAAAATTACGCCCGCTTGTGTTAACTGTTTGCCAGCCGAAAGATAAAGCGAGTGTAGCGGCGATCCCGAGCAATCGATACTACGTTCCTCTGCAATTCCCCACGCATGCACGTTCTTGTCCGGGGGAGTTTTTGTCCTAACAATTCACTGCGATACTTCCGCTAACGACTATCGAGAAATTTATATAACAATCCCCCGGAAAGAAAAAAAGAATCATACGTACGTAATTGCTCCCCTTCGTCAAAGAGAGAGAGAGAGAGAGCAGAGGCGTTTTTCGTAGGGGTGAATCTCTGCGATTTTTTTTCAACAATGGCAACCGTTAAAAGCCACGCAGTAATTTTCGGCTAAGTATCGCGCGCACGCGACTGCGCCCCTCCTGTATTTATTCTATTAGAATGTGATATCTTCACTAGCCGGGTGTTTCTAAGGCAACACCCTAAATACGGTAATGTGGGCAAGCCGGGTCATCGTTCGAGTACATGGTCGAGGTAACGCCGGTGGCGACAATAAAGGGAAGAAAATTATGACCGCGCCTGTTTACCGGCAGAAAGGTGAAGCGCGCGCTGGACGGGGAGATCGATAAATTCTCGTACTCCTTAAAACCGTTTTCTATCCGGCTGCTCCCGCCGCCGCTCAATTTACTCGTAATGCCGGGCTTAGATACTTTTCCAGGCCGATGAACGTAAATATTTTCGGGCTAATGTGTTTAGTGCTATAGGTAACGCTATTACAACATTGAGGAGGAAACGATAATGCCGTAATACGCGTCTGGCCATATCGCATCGCTCGTGGTATCCGCACGTAAAATACCTCGCGATGGTTAACATCGTTGGGTAGGATATGGGCTGATGTAAACACAGTGAATGGAGTAGAAATCAAATTACTGTTATCAGTTTAAGCCATCGCATATAATAGCGCACAGCGACCAGTGCTTGGAACTTTGGGTTTGATGTTGAAGTGCTTCCCCGGTTCTCTATCAGCGTCACGATCGAGTTCGTAATTTCGCATTCCGGGCGACGTTCTCTTTAGCTTGAATTGCCGGAATCCGTAACCGATAGCGGACGATCCCCGGGGGAGACGACGACGACGAGGACGATGAGAGAATGACGACAACGACGACTCCCCCGCTTTTCATACACACACGGAAAGTTTCGCGACAATACGCCGTTACGGCAAGTATTTTAACCGGCCACGTCAGAAGAATCACAGCGAACACGTGGACTCGGGGGAAGTTTCTTCGCATTGTAAACGAGAAATCGTCCGCCAGCATCGCTAACTCCGTAACTACCGACTCGTTTTTCAAGCCCCCTCGTTAATCCACCGACTAGTACGGCCAACTCCGTAATTGCAGTCGCGGTGTATCACTGGTGGGGAAATATTTTCTTTAATTGAATACGCCCGTATAAGAAACTCGGGGCTTAAACAAGCTCGCGATGCAATTAAGGGGAAAACATCCATCCACGCGGCTACGTATTATCTCTTGTTATTCCCCGGGGAATTATCCGAAGGCGCGTCTGTGTGTGTGTGTGCAATGGTTGACGACATCTTGACAGTCTGTATCCTTCGAAACGTCGTCTCGATTACATAATTTAACAGTGACACACACACTCTCATACGTATCCGTAACAACACGCGAAGTAACGATTTCGTTCGAGCGAACGAAACGCCAACGTCTCGCTCGTGACGCGAGAAACCTCATTGATTATTTCCCCCGTGCTTATCGACGCTTAAAGCAGTACATTTCAATTTCCCAGGTACGCCAGCCTGACGGCCTGTCACGTAACGACCACGATCATCGCCGTGTGGATGATCGCCGTGATCGCAGTGGTCCTGCAATCGTTTGTCCTGGACGTGGGGCCCGACTTTTGTCGCCGCAGGCTCAGCGGCATCGCGATGGAGCAGGCGGTAGGTGCGAGCGTGCTGGTCGGTCTGCCCGCCCTCGCGACGATTTTCCTCTACGTGAAGCTGGTGATACGCGTACGGCGCGCCACGCGGAGTTCGTACAAGCTGCCGGCCGCCACCTCGTCGGACTACGAGCTCACCAAGACGAACATGTGCAGCTGCCTGATGTTCGTCGTGTTCTGGCTGCCGTTCGGCTTAGCGGTCTGCGTAAACTCCTTCAGGCCGATCAGCTCCCGCGTGCTCTACAACCTGGCCTGGTTCGCCCTGACCAAATCCTGCTTCAACTACATACTCTACGGCGTGGCGGATCGTCACTTTCGCAACGCTTACGTCAAGCTCTTCCATTACTGCTGCTGTAAGACGGTGAGCTTCTCGAGGAGGCCGCGCGGCGACGTGCGCCTCAGGGTGCACATTATTCATTCGTACGCGAGTCCGGCATCCTGCCGTCAGGCCGGAGACAGGCCCAACGGTCGTGAGATCCACGAGCTCTAGAGGTTGATCGATACGACGGGACGCGCGGTATCGGGTGGGGGGGACCTTGCCGATGAAGACGTCGTGCGCGACGCGACCTTTCGCGACGAAACGACGCTGCGTTTTTGCGAGAACGAGCGATCGTCGCGTCGACGCGCAAACGACGCCGCTACGCATCGGGAGACCGCGGTATGGCCTTACGGGGGGTATTAATTGGTTTGTCTCCCTCGGCTCCTCACCGGCTCTCGTCCACACCGATACCGGCGGAATTATTCTTACGTTGGGCGTGGCTCTTTCCGTTTTTACGAGGGTGCCGAAAGCGAGTCTTTTCGAGCGAAACTACCGGACTCAGCATGCTCGGAGACGTTGACATCGTCGCACAAATCTGCCGCGGTGACGGATATATATCGCCGCTTTTCTTTTTTCTAGTCAGAGTCCGATCTGTCCGCGGACTGGGGTTATTTTTCAGCAACATCGTTAACAATGGCTTCTACGGTATTATCTCGCGTAAATTAATGAACCTAAGGGGAAACATCGGCACTAAGGGTATATCGTGTGACGTAGCGAATGTCGTGTCTAATGTAGAATTATTCGTCTGATGAATCTGCGAGAATCACCGGGCTTGAGAGACGTATAGAGTTCGGAAACGTACACCCAGCATTTCCGACGCCAGTACGAACGGTTGCCGTCCAGAGGAAATGTTCTCTAAACAATAACTGTGGATTTGTACGTTATGATTCTGTCAGCGCTCGATATCAGCGAGTCAGCAAAATGATTATTGCTTAGACGAGAGTCCTAATCACGAGAGTGTCGAAAATATCCGCTAGTCCATTTCGTTGTACACCGACAACGGCGGCACTTTTGTTCCGACCACTGCAAGCGGACGTATTCGATAGTAGGATTCAGCAGGTTCCCAGTATTATCGGGCGTCGCGTTTTGTTTTCAGACGTCGCACTTTCTCATTTATCGCGAAACCTCCTTTTTCGGCAGAGAAGCGGGAATCCCCGGTTTCCGCGAGATCCCATCTTGTAACAAGGGGAGACGAGTGTCTCACTCGCGACAGCGTTTTATCTGGCTGCGAGACAAGACGCGGACGAGAGGGAAAATAAGGTTTTCCCAATCTCGATTAAATTTCTCGACGGAGCTTACTGGCATTCCGCGAGGGTAAGAGAAGCAGCCGGCCGAAGTTATACCGGCGCGCACCGGTGGGAAGTAATTTACGCCGGTGCACTATAAGTTCGCTATGTGTGTGAGATTTAAGCTTAACGAAGACGCTGGTAGCGTCGCGAACACCACATCCCGAATTATGGCGGCTGCGCTGCAGTAAGTCGGCCGGTAGATGAAAACGCCGTAACGTTTAAAGAGGTACTTGGCGGCGCTCATCATCCTCCAAAGTTAATAACATTCCGGTAACGAGGTGAAGTCGCGTGGATCGGATAAGAAGAGCGATTCGATGATAAAGATGGCAGTAAAATTGGTTAAAACTTTCAGTACTCTGCTCGCGTGTCGATCCCGACGTTCGGCAATTTAGCGAGATCTCACTGGAAAAGGTAAGAAAAAGTAGTTTCCAGTCATTTATTATGTAAATCGATCGCTCGCGGGATAGGTACTTTCGATCAAATAAGGATCAGGTGGAGGATCAGAGCTTGAGCCAAGTACTGTAATAGGTGGCTTTATTGGCAAGGATACGTAAATTATAAGGGCCCGGGTTATATATATATAAGTTCGCTGATGTGAGATAAATCGACCGGACGTAAGATTTTCCTCGTAAAGAAGCGCGACGGATCGGTAAATATGATTCTGACGCCATAACGCTTACGTAAGCTCGTAGTATCGGTTCTTTAAAAATTCCTTTAAAAATCTTCTTAACGAACGCGTCCTCTCGTCTTGCATATTACGGATCGTATCGCCGTTCGTCTCGAAACTGAAAGCCCGTGTGACGCTGCCTCTCCGCGCGTCTACTTAATTTTAAATCTACATATCGCACGAAACGTGATTCTCGGTTGAAGTAATTAATTACGTATTCCGGATCTAGACATATCTGGTTGAGAATAACTGTTCTAAATCGTCGAAGAACACGCCACGAGAAAACAGGCATATATGATACACATTACTGCCCCCTCGACGCGGAGATATAATTGAGAGGCGTCCACACGTGTAACCCGGATTTAACGAAAAGCGTGAGAACTCACGTCCGATGATATCACATCGGCGCGAAAAAACGCGAACGAGATACGACGGGGAGAGAAAGAGAGGTGCGCGAGAGATTAACGCGAGGATACTCGTGTCCTCGTGCAATTCGATCGTCCCGAAGCTCCTCGTGTATTTCGTGTAATCGGTCGGTGAATATTGTCGTGCCAATTATTCTGGAAAACGACGCCATTCTTCAGCCCGGTTGGGTAATTTGTTACGTACCGCGCGGCGATGCGTTCGCTTTGCCGTGTCGCGCTCCTCGGGACGGGACACTGTTTCAGGGATCGCGATTTATTTAGTAGCGTCTCATTGAAGGACACTCGCCCGAGTGACACCGGTATTCGTTCTACGCGAGAATGCGCTCGCTCCGTCCACACACGCCAAGCGCAGCTGCGATCGCGAGTATCGGATTTACGCCTGATACCTTCCGGACTTGTTTCGGCAATCTATTTCGACGTTTTTCACTGACGCACCTGAGTATTGGTCGATTTATACTTCGCATCTCTTTTCTTCGCCCGCTAATTATTTCATGCTTCGGAGCGTAATCAAGTCTAGATGATACATCGATGGGCTCCTAAATTATTGGGAATTTTAGATTTAATTTGAATTTTCAATTTTCAAAACGCAACACGTTTGCAGGCTGCGACGAAATTTCAGGTTTTGCCGCACTTCTCGTTGCGACGAACTTTTGCTACTAAAATTGCACGAAGAATGGCCAATAATGTTTCATCGGACACATCGAACGAAACAAGTTCGTCGTGTCTTAATACGTGACACTCTACGATCGCGGCTTCGATTATCGCTAATCGTGTACTCGAGCACATATCTCTATCATGCTTTACATTTCGAGATTTATTCCGTTGTATATATATGTATCTTTACCGATTAACAGTAAGAAGCGTGCAGCATTATCGCGTGTATCTGTGTGAAATGGAAGTGTCGGCTATCGTCGCTTTTCACTTACATTTCCATATCATCATTTAGTTGATAACCGAACTTGCAAGAGTCAAAGTGTGTAAGCATGCGTAAGAAATATGTATACCCTTCCTCTAATCATGTGATCTTTCAAAACGCAGTTCAAGTTACATAGTCGTACTGGAGAACATAGTCGAAATATAATTAATGATGTCATCTTGATATTAGAAAAAAAAAAAAATAGAAAATGTGATACAGGCTCATATATGTACTTGAAAACTTTAACGTAACTCTGTGGAACATTTTTGTCGAATTGATAATGCGCTATTACACGATCGACGCCTCGATTTATTTGTTGATTGACAAATAATAATGTGACGATCGCGTTAATCGACGATAAGGCGTCGAATCTTTTTATTCGCATATCGGAGGAGAGGATATAAAAGTGGTGGAAGGTGCCTCGCGTGACACGGTGCAATGTTATCTCGAAATTTATGGTCCTCGCGTGGACTTTAGGTTCAACGATATTTCTTCGACAAAGAAAATCTTGCCACTGTGACTGTTAGTCCTGTCCGGTGAATTACTTCACCTGTACTAATCAAACTTTTTTATCGCGATCATGATTTTTATCGAACACTTTAAGAGACACGAACGGTTTTTTATCGTGAACATTCGAAAGGATGGGTAAGACATTAATTAGTAACGTTTATTAACTCGGTAGCGATTGAAAGAAATGATAGATTTTAATATATGATGTGTGATATCAATTTCTGAATTTACGATACTAATTACGATACTAAGGAATTGAGGATGTTGAAATTAAAACGCAAAATTTGTATCAAATCTACAAGGAATTTTTGTTACTCATAGCTAACGAAAGATGGCATCTTCACGCAACTTTGCTGCGTTGAGAAACGAGGCAAAAGACGGAGAATTTCTAAATGAGAACTCGAAACTTTAGAAAGAGTTAATATAATTGTATGCGTGCGTGTGTGCATACGTGTGTGTGTGTGTGCGCGCATGTGTGTGTCCATATCTAGTACAAGACATACCATTCATTATTTCCACGTAGGCAGCGATGTATTTTAACAAATTACTTAGTATGAAATTACACGACTGCATTCTTCCACCGACTTTAGATTCCATTCCGTTATTTTTATTCGATGATAGTGAGAATTGAAGCTTTATACTTAAATATACAAGTGATAATCCAATTTAAAGGATTTCACTGTCCGATGAAAGTTTCAGTATTCCGCCATTACTAACAATTTGACGTATAACGGGAGAAAACAATAGCACTTATATCGATGTACCAAGTTCCCGAAACTAAAATGTAACGCGCGGTACTTTTATATTTTTACGAACTGGATAGACACTTTGTATTGGCGGATCGAGATATTATTTTTAGGAGAAGCGAAACTGTATCGTGAATCAAATACTATTTCGCAAAGCGAGAAAACGATGATGGCTGGCGATTAATTTAGTAAGTCAGATGAGATAATTTGTACACGGATAAAATCAAATATCTCGTTCTTCCTCGCAGAAAATTCTCGGGTTCCGTCATCTGCGTTTCGAGGTTTATACAAGTAATTACGCACACGTGCATTCATTGTACATAAACACGCGCGTCTTATGACTGTATTTATTAATTGATAATTATCGTAACAGCGTTTCGTGACTGCGTCATCTATAATGTCGTAATTACCACGTCTCATGACTGTGTCATCTATAATGTCGTATTTTACACGCCTTCTGTCAATCTGTGATCACACTTTTAGGTATGATTGTTCGGGTGGCATTACGGTGCGAGTACGCGCGTAGTATCGTCAAATTTTGCACATATTATCCGATTTAACACAGTTAACTCGATTATTCGAGATAATGCGGCATAAATGAAATTAAACGTAGAAAGGGACGTTTTGTCGGATACGATGAAAACGGTTTTGATATTCTAAGTGACGATAATCGTCTTACAAAGTGCTAAGTTCGACTACCACCGATTCGCGGACGTTGTGTGCAAAATTTGAAATTGAAATTTAAGCGTCTTTCGCGACGGGAACTTTGATAAAACAATCCGGCGAGTGGCCGCGCGTTGATCAAATATGCGGGGAGGAGAAGAAACATTCGGCACGGCGGGAGATTTTATCAAAAGTTCCGCCCTCCCTCCCCCCTCCCCTCCCGTCAAAATCGGGTTTTCGGGAAACGTCGAGAGAAAGAGAGACTTTGGGGTAGCAAATGCCGTTGGCAATAGTGTTTGAAGAAATGGGACCAGGAACTAGCTAGCTTCTCGTGACTACTTTTCCCGGCTACTCGTTTTTTTTTTTATTGTCTGCTTCGTTCATATCCGGGACATCCCGCAACAGAAAACGTATCCGAAGATCGCGTGTACCGTCTCGCGTCCTCGTCGTTTTACGATCTCAGGACGCGCGCGCGAGACTCACACGTTCGATCGAGCAATTCCATCGGCGCACAATGCCGTAACAAATTAGCGAGTTCGAGATAGGGGAAATTCGTAGTTAAATGGCTTTGCTTTAACGTCTGTTTCGCGTACTTGCCTTAGCGCTAACTCGCGAGTAAGTACCTAAGTTAAGTAAATATCTGTATATGTGCGCGCTGTATCTCTGAATGTACATGCATATTTCGCCGTGTATGTGTATGTGCGCGACGCGCGCGAGATGCGATAGCTGCGCGTTTGCGAATGTGTTTATTGATATGCGTACGAGAATATATCGACGAGATGTGAATGTCGAGTATGCGGGCGGATGGGAAGATCGACAGGCACTGCATGCTTCTCGATATATAGAGCTCGGCCCGCGATGCCCGCGAGCATTATTACAGTTATCTTGTAAGATTTCATAATCAAGCGTTGCTTCATTCTCACCTTAATTCATCGAGCGAGGTGGAAATTCTCCCCGCTGTTTTGCGAATGCTTTCGCGCTACGTCTAAATACTCTAGCTAAATATTCTAGCTTATGCAGTGTCCGTCCACGGAATAGCTTTTTTCTACTAGAAATGTACAACGCGTATCTCCCCTTGCGTTTGCAATTATATAATTGATATTATTATATGTATAATATGTATAATATATTAATTATGTAATGGTACAATTCTCCCCTACGAAGGTGCGCGACGACAATTATAATTTTATAAAGCGTTAATTGTACACACGATTTGTATCTCGGAGGAAGCCCGTCGTTCCGTTGCAAGGAAAAACAGCGATTATTTCGCGGTAGTCGATCGAGAATAATAAATGATTTATGTTTTCACCCGTGTGCGACTGAGAGCGCTTAATGCGCGATTGATAGTTATCCGCGTATAGCTGTGATTTTATTCTCCACATGTCGAATGAGACCTCGATCGATAACGAGCTACGACGGTATCAACCGCAGCATTCTGTGATGTGCTAACGACATTCGTCTGTAATATTAATTATCAAAAAGCATCGCTTGCGCGGCAAACGTGATGGTGAAGCGATGTCAGGCTCGTATATATCTCGGAGGATCGAGAGATACGGTATCGCATCAATTTGCTGCTGCCTCTAGTGATAATTAAGGTATCGACGAGTGTCGCTAATTACGGTGCGGAATACCGCTACAGGGAAGTATTCAGAATTCAGATAATGCTTAAAACACGCTTGTGTTCACGCCTTATCGAATCAAGCGCAGTTCGCTCGACGCTCATTCGCGTATCCTGTCTCCGCGTAGCCGAGTAGCGTATTAGACGAGTGTAGAACGTAGTGGATCGTGCTAGACGACAAGATAGATGTCTTAGCTAATAGGTCGACGAAACATTTCAAGCGCATTCTCCCGGCATAATTGCGTGCGGCGAGAGTCGCATTGCGAAACGAAGCCAGATCTCGATGTATTATGTCGCTTCGCATTCTTCCGACCGTCTCGGAGCTCACTCCGGGGGCATCCGATTAATTCTGATATATTCGTACGAGCTGGTCGGGACGAGTTCCCCGTCATGGTGGATGCGTGTTTCGACAAAACCTCATTCTGACAAATTTGTACCGAGCGTCGGAAATAATCATATACATCGAAGTAAGTGGAGGTGATTATAGCAAACGCGCTGTGTGATTAGGCCCTGTACTATAATCATCTGGACGCATTTCATTAATACTGACGTTTTCGTGCGAATTCGTTAGAACGAGTTACCGCCAGAACACGCACTCGATATGATTATACCCTTAGGACATGACCACGGTGGATACGTGTCTCGGCAACACCACGCTCGGATGCGTGCTCGTATGTGGGCCATCGGTATATATAACTCGGGCGCGTCGAAATAAGTGTGAGTGGTGGCCGCGCTAATATGGGTGTACCGAGGAACGTTACGAATTCAACATTTCTTTGCTATTTCGGAATATTATTTTCCACCACACGTCAGGCATCACTTTGCATGTTAATCTCGTGTTCTTGATTTTACGCGCAGAAATCATATTCTTTCAATTACCGTTTGCGGATATCCTCTATCTCTCTCTAACTCGATATTGTTTGCATATTTGATCATCATTTTTAATAACAACGCGCTGTAACGTATTATTGAATCCGAATAGTATTTGTGATCACTTTAATTGATTTCTGCGATTACGGACAGTCGATTTAATTTATAATTGTGCAATAATTAAAATATAACGATGATTTGCCTGTGTATATATATTTGAATAAATATAATTATATTATTTGGAATGATCAAAGAGATACGGATTCAGCGGTCACTCGCCAATGAGCGATTATCGGCTGATCTACTTACTCCGCGTGCTATAAAATGAAATTCCGCGGCTTATTTCAACGCGCTCGATTAATTCTGGCTCGACTGATTTTCCTACCGATTAGTCAGAACGAGTTTTCCACGAAGCACGCTCTGTCATTCCATTGATCCGAGAACCAGAGCGGACAAGCAGTTTGACAGAAGCTCGTTTCGATGGGCTCGTATCGGGGAACAGAGCGAATCAAATATATTGAAATAAGAAGAAGTGATTACAGCACGATCAGATTTTACGCCTTGCTTCAATGCATTTGATTATATTCTATTGATGTTTTTCCACGGATTGCTTGGTCAGAACGAATTTTCCGTACGGGACGCCCGAATCTACGCCGTAATTGTTTCTCCGGTCGCATCGCTGTGTTTCGGCCTTATTGCCTGTCGCCGAGGCAATCGTAATTTCTTTGTACATACGTATACACGCTCGTGGACTGCAATGTAGGACAAAATTTATCTGCGTAAAGCGAATCGTAGTGTTATCCTTGAACACGTCGTCGAGAGTGTGCGCGCGGCCTCTCGATGATGCGCGTCTTATTAACGATCGTCGTACCAAGTCATCGAGAAGCATTATTCGAAACTCTGAGGACCACAAACTCACAATAACATAACATTATAGCTATGGACCTACGTAGATTACTCGCCTTTTTTTCAACGAGTATAGCAACCGATCAAGACGGTCTCGATCGTCTAGACGTACAAGATCGTCCGTGGTCTTACATGGAAAGGAATAAAAGATAGAAAAAAAAATAGTCTCCGTATTTTCGGCTCTCGTTTATACGCGCGAGAGTCGGAATATTAATTCGTTGTAACGTGTAAAAGGGCGACCAAAGCTCGCGTTTATCGGTGTCGTGTTGTAATAAGTGTCCATAATGTCTTGTAACAACACTACGAAAACATAAACGGCATTGTCTAATCAACTGATAACCAATTACTCAGACTCGATTAATAGCGTCAGTAGCGAAGTAGAGGTCAGAAATTGATGTATTGTGTTTAACTATTCGAGTAGCTAAGTCGAACTAGCATGTAGAGAAGCGAACACATTGTGACCGCAACATAGAACATCCGCAACGTTAAACACCCAATCCTTTAGTCATAGCATGAAAACGACGCAAAACTGTATCGGACTATATATAGATGTATTTATTTTGTACTAGATGTATTTCGCATTGATGTATTTTTCGTGGGCGCCCACATAGCGCGCCACGTCGAAACGGCATTCTGATTTTATGAATATTTTACCGTATATAAATTGTGTAAATGTAAATTTTATAATGTTGTAATAAAAATGCGTTTCTTTTTACTCACCGTGTGTGTAGTCACCATCGATGTACATTTCGTCATGCATAGTTCTGATCATATACGCATAATAATTCGACGAGACGCTTCCCTCGCTTCGTAGAAATTCCGCCTGAACAATTATAAAACCCTCTTTAGTTTCGATCTCGTAATTACTTGTGTGTTTTAATTTTTTAGTTAGTCATGTAATTTTGTGCACGATCAAGTTTTTAGTTTTTAGGTCTTATTCTCTTAACTGCAGTAAGTGTACGTATCGTAGATCTAACTAATGCAATGCAATTTTTTTTTATATATAGAAAAAGAGACATCCGATCAAAATATTAATAAAATAACGGTTGGAGATAAAGGTTTGATAAATCGAAGAGTGACTACCCGTAGCGGTATTCAAAAAAATTAATAAAAATCCATCCCAACACAAACATGATGTTGAAACATGAATAATAACGTCTGTGACGTCGTTACTACGTCTTTAGTATGTCACTTGACGTTCTTAATATATCATCGTGTATGCTGAGATCCACTCAGCTAGTTAATGTTAATATTGAAAAAGTTCATCTGAGCTGCTATTGAATTTTACCTCGATTTGTCGGTAGGAATAGTGGCGGCTCGTGCCGGAGACTTTAAGACTAACAAAAATACTGCGTCATTTAGCCAAGATCCGAACCCTATTTAATCATAATTTAAATATTTTCGAACTTTTTTAGCGACATTCCTAATTGGCGTTTGACAGTCCATTAGCCACATTTTAACGAGTTTTTCCTCAGGAAAAAAAATGTAACAAACCTAATTTTTGTTCCATTAAAATGGTTGCCGTTTGTAGACATTGTCGTTTCTGTGACGTGCAGGAATTCTGAAATTATGCAATTAGTCGCAGTTTGAAAGTTAATATAATACGTAATTCCAAATAATTTGAAGCATCGTTACGTATATACGATACATATAAGGTTAGAATTATGAAAGACTAACATGAATATTACACGCTGTTTTCGTTATCGTCCGAAATATCTTTATCGCAGGGATCAGCGTTGTTCACGTACTAGTAATAAGTCATTGTATAGGTGATCAAGAAATATACGTTGAATAAGAAAGAGCACGTACGAAAGAGATCGCGAGGCTCGATATACCTTATTTGCATACCTACCCGTTTTGCCAAGTCGATCCACTTGGAATCTGCACATTCGAGATTTGATTTCTTCTGGCATAGACCGCGCAACGCTGTTATTTCCGAGAGCAATGCCGAGCGATAACGGAGCCAAGTAACAAGTGACCTACTTTAATATGGCGGTACATGATACTCCGTTACGAATTTTTTAAATTTTATAGGATTTAACTGATTGGCTGGCTGTTATTAGTACCAAAGTCGGCCGCTACGAGCCGCCACCATCCTTATCCACAAATCGAGCTAGTAGTATAACTCAACGGCGTGTTAAAAAGAACTTTATTTTCGCTTAGCACGACTTGTGTGTTCCATATATTTAAGATATAATTGACATTTTTTATGATCGAGTATATTTCAACGTAGATTCTTCCTACTTTCAACATCGCTCTTACCTGAATAATCACTGGACCCTTCGTCGGTAACCGTACTTTATCGACAACGCTTCATTGGTTCGTGGTAAAGCCTTCATTAGATTTATGTAAGTGGCGCCATCGGTGGTCCAATAAAGAGAACTACGCGGCGAACTTTTAGTCGCGTTCGAATAACAACGGTGCCGGGTCGTTGCTCCGTAAAAATTCATCGAAAACGCGTAACATCGTCGTCAAACGATAAAACGGATCGCGGGCGGAGTGAGAGCGGAACGATGTCGAAGTTTTGAATCTATGTCAGGTCCAAGATCGCGATGAGAGAGTGATAATCCTGGGATCGAATCGCGGGATCTAAAGGTATCAACAGGCAGACATCTTGTTAACTATCTCAACCGTCTATTTGCAACATGTATCGACTTGAAAATTTGTATCCCAATTTCAGGTTCGAACTTGATACTTCAACTCGCGATCTACATTGTCTGATTTAGCCTTGACATGCGTGCGCATGTTTACGCACACACGCATAGCACTGTGATCTCATCTCGAGGATAACGATCACTCGCCGATATTGGTTCGAGCGTGGAGCGCCTGGATCGCCGAAAACGGCCGGAAGTGTCCCCCATGCACGAAGAAAAGGACGAGATTTATTGTTTGCAAGGTACATACTCATCTCGATATAACATAACGCTTTACTCACGCAATAAAAACTTTACATAATAATATGGTATCACGCAATGATGATAATCTCTTTAAGTATATCGATCGCGCGACGATAGTTTTTGGCATTATGCTTGCTCTCTTACGTGACAATGTATATTATATTCGCCGTTAATCCTTATCCCAGACGGAGGATCTCGATACTTGGATCCTAGCTGAATAGTGAGTTCCGTCGCGAGAGAGATTATATTGATATTATCTAATTAGAAACTGAACAATTTTTCTCGAATATATGACGCGTAACGGTAAACGATCAGACGAAAAATAAAAACTCTACGCTTTCCTCTTTTCTAACTGTAATCGTATGCACGCAAGTTAATGCGCTGGGATAAAGATTAAATCGTGATCGGTGATGAGCAGCATTCCGGATTTCCTCGAACGCGTTTATTCGATACTCCTCGGCTTCGCGAGCTATATCGCCGCGACGTTGCAAATCGATGATTGCCCCGTACGAAAGTAAACCGCTGATATTTCGCTGAATCGCTGATTCGACTCTCGTCCGACTGAAATGCGTCCGACAGACGCGGACGTGATATCGTACGTATGGTTGTCGCTGGAAGTAAAAGAAATTACATTTCGCACAGTTCAACTTTTAATCTTCCGCGTCAGCGATCGTGATCTCGAAGATCTCGGCATTCTTACTACGGGAGAATCGCAGCGAACGGACGTTACATCTGGTAGGAATCGCGGTCCTTCGAGAAATCGCACGAGCGGACAATCGCGAGCACGCATTCATTTTCGCCGTCTCGAGGATCGCGATGCTCCTGTAAGCGCGCGAGTATCGGTCGTTCGTTCTCGTCGACTGATGCAGATCGATAAACTTTCGCCTGACATTTTCTTCTCACTTGTTTGCAAAGTATAGAAATTAACGTCATCTTTAATCTCTCTCTCTCTCTCTCTTCCTTTCGGTGTAGAAATTAAATCCTTTTTCCTTCTTTTTTTCTCTTTTAAAATGTGTGAACAACTTTTTAAGGCGAGCACGCGTACGCGATTGCCGGCGCGTGTACGCCGCCTTACTTATTTGTACGTAGAATTATTCTGCATTATAATGACGCGTATCTAGACTTTCGTTCCCTTATACGCGAACGTTATTTAGAATATTATTTCAATGAGCAAGTAACTAGGAGAGCACTCTTTTTTTCCATTTCTCCGTTCCCTTCCCTCGACTTTCGCTTCCATCGATAACCGCACTCTGTATGCGTCGTATGTTACTTCCGCGTGCCCCTACCCCGATAGTCAGGATGAACGGTTCGATAATTACCTCGCATACAACGCGAAAGTTTCAAAATTATAATAGATTAACAATCGTAATAATAGATGTATTGAACGTAAGGTGCATTCCTTCACTCGCACTCGTCCTTTCTTCCCGTTCGCACTCTCGCTCGCTCTCGCTCTCCGATTTATTTACAACGGATTCTGTTCGTGCCGAATTACGTTACCTCGGCGTCGGAATCGTTCGCGATCGGAAAGTAGCCGATTGAAAATATCGTTATTGCACGTGAAAAAGGTGACGTGCCTCCCGAAGGAGGCCGGTGTGATTTGTGGCTGGTGGATCTTGTTGGTCTGTACATCCACCGAGAGTTTCGTTTTCGACAGCGGCTCTCGATAGCAAACGTCTCCGATAGAGTTACATGATCCAAAAATTTATATATATTTTCTGTGCTTTATAGCTATTTTTTTTTTAATTTATCAGATACCAGATATATACTACTCTTGAAAAGAGAATATATCAGAGATGTGCAATTGAGTAGAATTAGTTTTAATGCTACATATCCGAATCGAAATTTTGGTTTCACATTAATTTTATAGATATCGTCAGACCTGATCAATGGAAAATCTCAAAGTTATTATCTACAGGCTATTGTTCTGTTTTGATGCCACACATAGTTACTTACTGCCGTTTTCTTCATGTTGAGGTTTAAAGAAAGACTTATTCAAAAATAATTTAATATTCGATTATCTCAATATTTCCTGCATATTTCCTGCATATTTAATCTTTATTCTTAATTCCAATAAGAATATATTAATTATGTAACTTACATTCAAGATTGCTGATTGAATATGTGCGATAATCAAATATTAAATAATTGATATAGGTAAATATCAGAGCACATTTTATGTTCTCATATTTTTATTATTTTTTATTGGCGTTGGAAATTTCGATAGGATTTTTATTTTTAAGGAGGATAAGAGGAAGGGGAAGGATTTGCAAGGTTAAAGATAACTGCTGAGTAAACATCAATGACAATTTGGATTTGATACAATAATAAGACTGAATGGAAGCATAAAAGAGTGTTTTAAAAGTAAAATCTGCACTCGAAAGAGCATTAATAGAAAAATAAATCTCAGTGCTTATGATACTTTGGCCAATATTTATAGTTGTAAATTATTTATTTATTCAATCTTTGATTGAGAGCATAATCAGTTACAAATAATTCATATTTATGAACTGTTATTCGACTGTTTAGATAGATATGTTTGTGTAAAATAAGTATTATCGACAGATTAACGAATATGAATCAGAGATTCATAAAGTTATAATTACTTATCAAACGATAAATGAGACTGCGAATGCCAGCTTTAAAGTAGATCGTAAGCTTGATTCGTGATATTTATTTTCTCTTTATTCTCGATATATTCGTTAAACTTTCGTTAAAATCAGGAACATCTTGAATAATAAATAATTTTACACACCTGGAAATATATTACTGTCTGCGTTTTGCGTCCTCCGTCCTGGCTTTCCGACCCGATATTCGGCTCCTGGTTATTTCGTGGTTCCTCGCACTTATTAACACTCGCATAAATGCAATGTGTTTGACCGAAGAAACGCGTGTTAACCAATACGATGTCAACGAGAATTCGACTAAACATCTCAAGAACCGACAAAATATTTTAATTACCCTACCGAATTGTAGATAATGCACGTAAACAAGTACGCGACGCGCGAGAAAACCAAAACAATTAGCAAAACGAGCAAAGACATCCCCTTTCATTATTCGCCAACAGTAGTCACTAAACGTCGAGAAATATATAAACGTTCTCAAATTATATGCCATATTTCCGAGATAGTTAAATTATAAAATTTTCAGAACTATTGCACGCGCAATACGTATCGAAAGTATCATTTGTTTATCATTGTGTTAACGATTATTCGACAATCATCATCAGTTAATGTACAATAATTAATTAACGCCGCGTTAACAATCGGTTACAACTCGTACTCTCGTATGGCAGCAGTGTCTTGAGTGTCTGACCACAATGATAACTAGGAGCTGATTCCAGGACGGATTACAGGACGCAGGATGTAGTGGCAGTCGGCGACGAGACTCACATTTCTTTCTTCTTCACCTTTTTAAAATTTCTAAGTTTTATCGAAATTTCGAACGCCCATAAAAGATAATGATAAAGATATTATAAAAGAAGAAAGTTTGTTATTTTATTTATCTATTTACTTACTTACTAATCTTTATTAGACTGTTTAACATTTATCCCAATGCTCAATCTGCAGTTGAGTAAATTATATAATTAATACATTACTTATTGAAATTAAAAAAAAAACATTAAGTGCAAGTAGACTATAGAGATAATCGAATATTAAGTAATTCTTAAATAAATATATTTCTTTATACTTCTCGGTAAAACGGCGATAAATAACCATTTATAGCATCAAATAACCTGTATAACGTTACCTCTCGAGATTTTCCAATGATCCTTCCAAAGTTTGGCGGAATTGGCAGGATTAATGCAGAACCAGAATTTCGATTTGGGTACTGTCGAGAGCTGCTTTCAAGAATCAACGAGATCTCGCGTAGATTTGCAGCCGAATGATAAGCAGGACGTACCGATGATACTGGTCCATCGTCAGTTTCAAGAGCCTAAAGGTTGTAAGTCGTTCGATCGCAGAGAATAAGTGAGTAAGTTTCTTACGTCATCATCGACCATGCATTTTATTCGGATATTACAAAAAATGGCCTTAATAGCGCTCGGCTAATCGTAAATGAG